AAACTTCATAGTCCTACTCATGTTAATTAATCATATTATCACAGTTACCCCCATGGTAATTCATCAGGAAAATCGCAGCATCAAAACATCAAGACATCACTGAACCAGAACATGATTCGTTACTAGAACATATACCCAATTGACTTCTCAAACATAATTAGATGTAAAAGTACTGGGAAACCAATTCCCTTATCTATACTATGTTATAGCCCTGTTTATTAGCTTTCCAACGCTTCGAACGGGGGTCAAAACAGACTTACGGATCCAAAGTTACGTCCAAAACAATTTCGGCCGAAAACATGAACAGTCGTGACGGACAAAAAGACGCTGTTACGCTCCAGAACTAATTTTTACTCAATTATTTTTACGAATCACTCACTCAACGTACCCAAAACATCACTAAAACATTCTTAAGGTTATACGACAATAACAGCACAACTTCTATGGTTTATTAGGCTCATTTGGCAACATTTGCAACGCCTAAAACACTATTTCCTGCAATTACTCTGAGTACTTCAGAGTTACTCACATTTGAATATTCTTATTCCTATAGGGTCAAACATATCACAATCCAAGGTGTTGGCCACGAAGGCCTAAGGTTTCCCTTCTCATATCAATATTCACTGTTACATACCATTACCCCTAACCTCAAAGCCTTATCATCAAATTCCCTATTTTTCCATAACCAACCCAAAATACCTTAAATCACAAACCAACCATAAATACATCTAAAGGCATACATAGAAAATCATGAACAACGATACTCCCCATACCTTAGCCAATTCACAGCCTTCACAATTACTCCAGGAATCTTCCGAAACTTTTGCCTCCAATTCTCCCTCCTCAGAGCTCTGGCCTCCATTCTTTTTACGGTTAACAAATGAATCCCAATTCCCTTTAGAATTCTATTTTGTTAAATCTCACCATTTGGGCTTTTCCCATAATATCCTCACTAACTCCTCCAATCGCCCAAATTGCCCTTATTTCCCTTATTTCAATTTAATTAATAATAATACTAATAAATTAATATTATATGCTATTAATTAAATAAATACCCAAAAATGCACATTTTCTTAATAATTCACCAACCACCCGAAAATCACCGAAAACGAATATTCTTAATTAAATAATTAATTAAAATACTCCAATTAAATTTGGGGTGTTACAATGATTGTTCTATTTCTGATACTTGTGACACTAATCCAGTTGATTTACCCATTGCTTTGAGGAAGGATGAAAGATCTTGTCCCTCCGTATATCGACACCCTATATCTCAATATGTCTCCACTAAACATCTTTCCACACAATATCAAAGTTTTATTGCAGCTATTGATTCTGTGAAAATCCCATGATCAGTTGAAGAAGCATTGCAAAATAGAATTTGGGTCCAAGTTATGGATGAGGAAATGAGAGCACTTGAAAAAAATGGTACTTGGGAGATCATTGAAAGGCAAAGAGACAAAAAGTCAGTTGGATGCAGATGGATCTATATTGTAAAGTATAAATCTGATGGCACACTTGATCGGTACAAGGCAAGACTAGTGGCAAAAGGTTATACTCATACATATGGTATTGATTATGAGGAGACATTTGCCCCAGTGGCAAAAATGAACACTGTTCGAATTTTACTATCTCTTGTTGCTTCATGTGGATGGGAATTGCAACAATTTGATGTTAAAAATGTATTCTTGCATGGAGACTTAGAGGAATAAGTGTATATGGAGATTCCACCGGGTGTTGGCATAACAAATGAAGCTAACAAGGTGTGTAAATTGAAGAAAGTCTTATATGGACTAAAGTAGTCCCCTCGGGCATGGTTTGGAAGATTCACAAAGGCAATGGTGTGTTTGGGCTATAAGCAAAGTCAAGGAGACCACACTTTATTTTTTAAACATTCACAGGAAGGAAAATTGACTGTACTTCTTGTTTATGTTGATGATATTATTGTTACAGGAGATGATTTGACTGAGAGACATTTGCTCAAAGAGAAATTATCGGTAGAGTTTGAGATGAAAGACCTTGGACAACTCAAGTATTTCTTGGGAATTGAGGTAGCCTACTCAAAGCAAGACATCTTTATCTCTCAAAGGAAGTATGTACTTGATCTTTTGCAGGAAACTGGCAAACTTGGATGCAAACCTACAAGTGTTCCCATTGAACAAAATCACAGAATAAGCTTTGAGGAGGAAAGTGACAAAGTTGACAAGGGTCAATATCAGAGATTAGTGGGAAAATTGATTTACTTGGCATACACTAGACCAGATTTAGCATATGCAGTCAGTGTGGTGAGCCAATTCATGCATGATCTGAGGGTGAGACATTTGCAGGTTGTAGACCGCGTTCTACAATATCTTAAAGCAACTCCAGGGAGAGGACTTTTGTTTAAAAGAGGTGAGAATTTAGCTATGAAAACTTACACTGATGCGGATTATGCCGGCTCAGTGAGTGACAGAAGATCTACGTCGGGCTATTGTACTTTTTTGTGTGGTAACCTTGTAGCTTGAAAGAGTAAGAAGCAAAGTGTAGTTGCTCGATCAAGCGCCGAGGCAGAATTTAGAGCTATGACACTAGGGATTTGTGAACTATTGTGGATGAAACAAGTTCTAGAAGACTTGAAGATACAGTGTGAAGGCCCTATGGAATTGTTTTGTGACAATAAATCGGCTATTAGTATTGCTCATAATCCTGTTCAGCATGACAGGACTAAACACATTGAGATTGACCGACATTTTATCAAAGAGAAGTTGGATAGTGGGCTGATAACTACATCTTACGTTCCTTCTGGGCATCAGCTCGCAGATGTGTTAACAAAAGGCTTACCAACATAAAGATTCAGGAAACTTACTTGCAAGCTGGGAATGATAGATATCCATTCACCAGCTTGAGGGGGAGTGTTGTAAATATTAGACTGTAAATAGTAATTAGTAGTATTAGTAATGAGGCCCATTAGTCAAAACCCATTAGGTTTTCTATTCTCTCTTATTTAAAGCATGTAGTTGCAACATTGTAAGCAGGACTTTTAATTCCATCAGGGAAATATTTTACAACAAGTTATTAACAAGCTTATCCGTGTCAAGAGAAACACCATAGAATTCCAATGCAGAGCCAATGAAATAGTCATAGACTAATTCCTTGCATTCGAATAATATGTTAAAGTCATGTGCTTGTATCTTGAATATGCATTGTGATTATACCCTAGAATCATCAAAACTATGTTGTAGTGGCATGGCCTTACAATCCAAAATATCATTAAGAGTGATGTTATTCACAACAACCCCGTTAAGCATAGTGAAATCATGGAAGCTCAGTAGTTCAGGTAGTTTAACTTGACCAATTCGTTTAACAATCAGAATCGACAACAAATTCCAACCTTTAAGTTTGGTTTGGTGATGAGATAAGGATAATATTAGTAGGAGCTCAATGTGGCAGCAACAGAAAAGACTCATAAAATTATGACAACTCACATTACGATTCAGAATCATACCACAAGAATTACAAGCAAAGTTAACATAAAAATCATATGGAAATAAGGATGATCCAACACCAGACTCGAGCACAAATTCACTAGGGAACAATTACGGCTGCAATCATGATAATTATGAAACAAAATAGAACTGTATATTTAGAGGTGTCCATATCACTTGTCCAAAAACTACAAGGATTTGCATCATACTCAGCAGACTTGTAAACATGTCATAAGAGAAATTAAATGGGATGGACATTCTAAAAAAACAGATGGTGGTATAAACATATGATGAACATGTTAGCACATAAATAGCAGGAATTCGGCTCTCAATTGTGTGTACTATAAGATTGACCACCATGTAAATTTTTCTGTTCAATTTGGAAATAGTGAGGATGGTTGTTTACCTTGGATGAGAGTGAGGACTTAAGTTGTCTTGGGTAAGCCGCACGATGAAACCATGGTGGAGCGAGCAGTGGAGGCCAAATTGAGTCCAAACCACCATTACAAGCAGAGCTCATTTGAAGTGCAACCAATTGCTCCTCAACGCGGTTCATACGCAACACATAAATTGTGTGTGATATCATGTACTCAACACTGCTTACATCTTCCTCTTTAAGGTACATATAGGACATCATGTAAATTGAGTGACTTATGTTTTGAAAAACTTGTGGACACAATTTCTAATTTCTCATCATTGCCATCAACTAGTGTATTCTTATCATGGGGCTTAATCAAGTCTTCAAACTTGTCAATTTGATGTGTCAAATGATTCCTTTCACTGCTATCAAGTATTAGCCATAGTCTTGGACTTAGTTCTAAAAGGCTAGGAAGCCATTGTGAGATCCTTTCTTGTCATTGTCGGTTGAATTATTGGATCTTGAGTAGATATTTTCGAACCTGTGAAAGAAGTCAATTGGAGTGTCATTACTCTTGCCTCTGACTTGGCATGGTGTCTTGGATGACATACCTATACCTTTTCCTCATTTCCAGTCTCGAAAGTTCGAACCTCTCTAAATATTGTTTGCATTGAACTTGTTGCCCTGGTGGTCATATTTGCTTGCAACATTTGTTTATGCATTGAGATAGACTAAACCCTTAGTAATGGGATTCTCTTACAACCCTAATAGAGAATGATAAAATTGTAAATTAAACCCTTAGTGTGAGGATTCTCTTGCAGAGGTGAGAAAGGCTCTCTCTCTTCAAGTATCCCTCCCCTTTTTAATCAACTTTCCTCAATATAGTCAATTAGAGAATTCAAGTGTTTGAACCACACCATAAATTTGATAAGAATATAGATTACTTACATATTTAGTTAAATTGAACACCCCTAGGGACAGTAATGGGATCACATGAAAACTTTAGATGTGTTAAATTCCTAGGACTTTTATAGTAAATAAATATAATCGGCATGCAACTTACAAATTTGCATAAAATTTTCATGATTCTGTTGTAAAAGTATGATAGAAAAATATACAACTAACTTGAACTAAGTACGATTATGATAAATAATGAAACAGCTACCCTAAATTTTTTATTAAGATGAAGATTCTGGTAATGATCTAGTTGGAGAAGAAAGAATAGGTTTCGGTGGTATTTCTAATGAATTCACATTGCCTTCTAACATTTCAATCACTCTGCTCATCGTAGGTCTGTCATTCGGAAATGTTTGAATGCACCATAAGCCTACAATGGTCATTCTCTTTGCAATCTCATCTTCTTCTGCGGTAATGACATCGCCCGGTCTAAATTCATTTTCTAGATCAAATCTCTTGTATACCCAATGAGGAAAGTATATCTCACTTGTTTGACTCGCATCAGCATTAATGTTTTTCCTCCCTCCAACCATTTCCATTAGCATCATCCCAAAACTATAAACATCAGATTTGTGCGAAACACCTCCAAAATTTCTATTCCACAACTCAGGAGCTACATATCCCATTGTTCCTCTAGCATCTGACATTGAAATAATGCTCTCTTTCTTGAGGCAAAGTCTTGCTAGCCCAAAATCTGATATTTTTGGACAAAAATTATCATCTAAAAGAATGTTATGCGGTTTGATGTCAAAATGTAAAATTCGAGTGCTACATCCCCTATGCAAGTACTCTAGCCCTCGAGCTATCCCTTTTGCAATTTGAAAAAGAACCTCCCAACTCAAAGATGGAATGGTTTCAGATCCCTTGTTGTAAATAAATTTGTCGAGGGAACCATTGGACATTAGTTCATATATCAAAGCTTTTTTTCGGCCTTCAAAACAAAATCCAAGCAGGGTGACAACATTAACGTGTGAGGTTTTAGTAATACTAGAAACCTCATTCATAAATTCTTCACCAGTTCCTTTGGATGTCTTCAATATCTTTACGGCAACAGGGCAACCATTGAGTAGTTTTCCATTGTATACAGAACCGTAACCACCTTCTCCTAGTTTGACTTTAAAGTTGTTGGTCATTTTCTTTATATGTGAAAATTTGTATCTTCTAACACTCAAGGCATCATGTGTTTTTAAGAATGCTTCAATTTCTCTGTCATTCTTTCTTGACTTGTACTTGAAACAAAAGATAATGATACATATGGGTAATCCTACTAATGCTGCACCTGCACTTCCTGTTAGGAGGCTTATTCAGTGTATTTTTTGGAGGAATCATGTTTTGATACAATAAAATGTGAAGGATGCATCAATAAGCCTATAGTCTGATAGAAATTGCAAAGAATGCATTAATAATGTTTCAGGTTCTGCCTAGGTCATAGTTAAAACTAATAATGTTGGGTTATAAAAGAAACTAGGCAAAAATTAAGGTTTCATTAATGAATATACCACAAAATAGTTTAAGAGATGAATACCATAAGAAGTTAGATGTATCACCTAGAATGATTTTCATTTTCCAATGCCAGCTCCACAGATTATTACCTGAGATAATAGTACAAAGATCATAGAGAGGAATTTGTTAATGCATTGGTTACTCCTTTCAATTATGACTACATAGTACAAATTCCAAAAATAAGTTCATAACAAAAACAAAATAAGATTATATTCAGTGGGAAAACATGGACACTCATGAAAAACTAAGTATATAACAAAAGGACATATTAACATGGAAGGTTTCATCAATTGTGCCCAATAGTGGTGTTCTAGGTTGTCCGGAAGGCCCAAGAGCGAAAGGCCCAAGAGCGAATTCTAAGTAGAAAGATGCATGAAACATGTAGACTTTCACTCTAACCAAAAGCATACAATTTTACCCTCGAACGCATCAATCAGCGTCCAATTCAATATGACGGCTGTCCGCATAGCAATAGTGGTGTTATGGGTTGTCCGCAAGGCTCATGGCGAAAGGCCCAAGATCCAATTCTGAGTAGAAAGGCGCATGAAACAGGTAGACTTTCACTCTAACCAAAAGTATACAATGTTTTCCCTCCAACGCATCAATCGGCGTCCAATTCAATCAAACGGTTGTCTGCATAGAACGCCGCATCACGCGCTAACGGTTTCAATCACGCTTGACATATAAGGGAAAATCATATCATGTTAGGTATTTAAATTCGTTCTCACCCACACATTACTTCTCATTTTTTTCATTAACTTGGGCGTTGGAGTGATAACCTTGCAGGTCCGCCCCACTCCGTCGCATCTGAAATACTCCACTGCCCATCTTCTATTTCAGTTCCTAAACATACAAGTGGGCTTGTCCAATCTCAGCTAATGGAAACTTGAATGAGTCCTAAGAGATGTATGCATCATCTTAAGACTTTGTATTGATGAAATGAGCGAAATTGAAAGAAAGAAATAAGACATACCTTTGAGAACAGAATGTGTGTTAGAGGAATCATGTTCACCATCAGGGGTATAAATATAATAGCAAGATTGATAATTATCAAGACCACTGGTATTATTCCAACAATACCCTTCACTTCCCAAACATTTTATGCACTCTTCATTCACATTATATTTCACCTGAAACCCCTCATCTAAAATTTGTTGAAGATCATCACTTCCAATTACACCAAAATTAGTACTAGGCACAAAAGCAAAATCTGCTTGCACTCTGATATGCCTGCCACATCCCTTTAACTCTGGAGTTTGTTCCAAAATCTTACCTTTTGCATCATCAAAACAGATTGCACTATTCTGAGATCCACACAAAGATTGGTAGTTAGCAAAGGACAAGACATCAGATGAACAATGGTAGAATATGCTTATGTTGTGTGTTCTTGTTGGAAACTGGAAAATAGTTGGACTCAAGTAATTATTATCGAATTGAGGACTACAGGCGCCGTTCGAAAGATCGGTTCGCGATAATTTCATAGTGTAAGTTTTGAGGTCAATACTTCGTACTGTGAAGTTTTGTGAGCCTAATAGAATTGTAGTAGTGCCATTTTTCTTTTCATCAATAAAGCAGTTAAGTTTAAAAAGCTCGCCACCGCCGCAGTAAGAGGGTCTGCGATTTCCCCAAAATGGATAAGAGATGTTGGATAGGTCGTTATTATTACAGTTATAGAATTGTTCCCTACAAACGGAATAGTTATGAGCAGGAAGAGGTTGTTGGGGTTGACAGTTTGATATTTGTGGTAAAATGGTTAAGAAAAAACATATTATATGGACAAGTTTATATGCAAAAGGATCTTTGATTTTGTTTTTTTTCATGCTTAAGTTATAACTGTTTTCTGATCAGCCAGAGAAGAAGGAGAAACAATTATTGTGGATGAGTTATGTTCACTATAAAATGGTGGAAACAAATTCTCTGGAAGAAATTTGTCATGTAGTTTTTAATCTGATGGTTGGATCTAAACCAATAGTACAAATTGTTCAAAATTGATATTATGATTATCAAACATCAACCTATTAAACTCAACTACCACCAAACTATTTAAATTGTCCTTCCCTTTATATTAATTTCCATTACCAAAAGGTTTAAAAAATAAATGATTAATATGTCAATTTTTTTTCAAAATACCCTACAACAAAATGACACATGGACTCATTTCAATAATTCATTTTTAAACTTCAATTTTTCCATCTTCATTCACTTCTTTTAATTTAAATTTCAAATGTCTTTCACGTTTCTTTTTTCCACACTTTCCACATTCATTTTTTATTTTTAACACTTCATTTTCTTTTTTTCTTTTTATTTTTTCTAAATATCAACTATCTTTCTATTAAAATTAACTACCGATCAAACTATTTAAATTGATCTTTTCTTTACATTAATTTATATTAATAAAAAATTAAAAAAAAGTAAATAAAGTGACACATCATCTAATTCCAATCATTATAATTATAGTAAATGATTATCATATTAAACATTTATTAGTGTATTAAAGGTATATAATATTGACATTTAATTTTATTTTACAACAAATTATTATTATTATCAAATATATTAATTAATTTATTTTTAAATTTTAATAAAATTAAAAATTTAATTTATGAAATTAGATAATATTCAATAGTCAGACACACACCTAACTTTCTATCTTGAATATCAATATTAGAAAAATATCTATTTTAGTTTAATTAATAATTTTTATTATTTGAGATAAATAAAATTTTAATTTAAAATGTCAAAATTTTTATTTTTCACACATACGGACCACTATCAGCAAAATACCTATTTTATTTGAATTAATAATTGTCTTTGTTTGAACATTAAAATTTTTATTTTCAAATATCAAAATTTATATTTTTCTCATAGATCACTATTATCAAAATATCTATTTTATTTTAATTAACAATTGATTTTACTTAAAACACAAATTCTTATTTTTAAATATTAAAATTAAAATGATATTTAAATAAAATCTATATCGTATAGTGTTGTAATGTTTGTATATATATCTTAGAGACATCTTTATCTAAGTAAACAGAATATTTTTATCCTCAATTAATTATTCTCTCTATTTCTATCCCCTTCTCCACATTTTAATTTCTCAATTATTCATTATTATTCATCAATATTGTGGTTTAAAATTCTAACATTTATTGTGTGCTTTTCTTTCCCGAATCTGAATTCCAAAATGATATAGTCCTTATAGTCAATGAGAACATTCAACAACTCTCTTTTGGTATTTCCTTTTCCATGTTGAATTGTTTGGCTCCACAACAAAGAAAGTGCAGTCTCCACGCCTCTGCGGTACACCAAAGACTGAAATCCAGAACCAAGTCATCACATTTTATCTTTGGTTGATTTATCTATAAGAGTATTTCTAGTATCTAATAGAATTTCATAAGAGAATATAATAGTTTTTTGGTATTAATTTTGTTCGTTACATTTAATATATTTTTGTCAAACTCTATCACCAATAACAATAGAATTTTATTTTATTAAAAGTTTAATTAATATGCATTGATTTATCAGTCATATGATATCAATAATTCAAAATTTAGAGTATTATGTGATGGAATACATGATGGTGATTAGTTGACGGTGTAAAAAATCTTTACATTGTCAATGTATTTTATCTTTAAATTCTTTTATTAATTAGGTTGGCTATATCGATCAAATTTTACTATAATGTCTATCCCAAATTCTATAAAAATTACAAATACTTTTGTATAAAAATAATTTTCAGAGTACCTTGTACAATGTGGTCATATGCTCCATTTAGTAAAACAAAACAAAACGACATGTTTAAAAAATATCATTTGACATTCCAAAGTTATCTCATGAGAAAATGACTTTTCAAAATTTCTTGAATCCACGGATTAATATATATATATATATATATATATATATATATATATATATATATATATATATATATATATATATATATATATATATATATATATATATATATATATATATATATATATATATATATATATATATATATATATATATATATATATATATATATATATATATATATATATATATATATATATTAATTTGCTAGATAACTTGTACCACAAGTTATTTGATAAATAATAATAAATTGAGAGAGTGTTAAAAAATAAATGAGTGATAAGAGTTTATTGAATGTTTTTTTTGTTGTGTTGAATTATATTTCAACACTATGATAAATAACATTTTTATTAGGAAGTTTTCATTTTGAATATGTTAAAAAGCGAGTGTACTGGTCTTGGAAGCAATGTGTTTGATTTTTTTTTTTTAAAATAACATTTTCTCTTGGTTACACAAAAAGCCGAGGTAATATAAATGTTCTGGAGTGGGTCCAAATCTGCTCATCCGTTGGGCAGGTCCAGCTCAACGCTATTTAGGGAAGACCCAAATTTCCCAAGGTCGGACACGGTTCTAGACACATCGGGCAGACATCTTTCCTGTCGGGAAGAACAACACGCCTTCCCCCACGTTCTCCACGTGCTCCCCTCGCGGGGACAGGTCATCATGCAACTACCCACCTCCGAAAGAGCTGGTCAGCCCACCTTCCGAAGATCACGGGACAATTGAACTAGGGCGAAGACCATGTACTGGTCTTCACTACGCCACATAAGCCCTAGCAGTCACTTGGATTGGGTCTGGCAATCCAGCCCAACACAAGTGATTGTTGGCCCTGCATTGGGGTCTCACTATAAATACCCTCTTTCACTAAAGGGTCAGGTATTTCATTCTCTACACCTAATTTATGTATTTGCTCCTACTCTGATCCTTTACTCACTTAAGCATCGGAGTGTCTCGCGGGTACACCCCCTCCTCCCCCTACCTCAAGTGAGCAGCTTTCAGATCGACGACGCGTGGCGGTTAGCAATCTCTTCTGATCAGGTACGATCAGTAGCACCGTCAGTGGGAATCTAAAGCTTCCCCGTTCCTCCGAGCAGAAGAACCAAAGCTTTCAACTTCAACTTCCGAGATCATGACCAGCCCATGCCACGACGACGCTGTCCATAATTCCGCTTTCGCCCCACTCACCAACGGCGATGACCAGGCTGGGCACTCCCACGTTCGTGAGGGTGATGTGAGGGACGGTTGGACTGCCCCCCCCCCTTCGTCTGAGGACGCGGCATGCCACGTCTCCCCCCGGGCCAGAAACCCGGTTGTTTTCCATCCCTTCCCCACACCAGCAGAGGCGTATCTGATGATGATTGCCCTCTTCGCATCCATGAACCAGACCAATCTGATGTTGTTCCAGCAAAATGAGTGCATCGAGATGTTGGAACAGGATACCTCATCTCGCTCTCCCCCGCGGAGAAACCAACACGAGGACTCCCGGAGCCCCTCTCCTCGTCAACAGGGGTGTCCGCCATAGCTGGAGAGGCCCCAACCCATGGCCTCTAAGAAGCGCGGCCGATCACCCTCCAAAAGAAGAGGCGCTCCCCGGTCCCAAGAAGAAATAGACCCGAGGCACCGGGCAAGAGGTCGAGGGATCGTAATCAAGCCCCTCGACACAATCCTTCGTCCTCGCGCTCCCTTGTCCGTAGTGACGAGGACGACCACAGAACCCCCCCGCGCGGGAAATCATGGAGACCCCATCCCCCACGGGATGGAGAAGCCACTCGCGTTTTCCACCTACGACGGCACCTCGGACTCCGACGATCATCTGGAAGATATCGAGGTCATGCTCGACTATCGGAATGTCCGGGGAGCCATTGAGTATAGGCTTTTCACGACGACGCTGAGGAAGGGAGCCATGGCCTGGTACAAAAGTCTAGAGCCCAAGTCCATCACGTCGTGGAGGGTCCTGAAGGATCTCTTCTCGCAACATTTCACAGCGCCCTGACGCCATCCGAAGACGGAGGCGTCCCTGGGCGCGATCATCTAAGCCCAGGACGAACCTCTCAGGAACTACATCAAGAGATTCACGAGGGAGGCGGTCCAGGTGACGACTTCATACGACATGAAGCGTTACCTCATGGAACAAGGCCTGGGCCGCAGCTCCAAATTCTATGAGGTCGTGGCAATCCACTGGTCGACCACCCTGCGAGGCTTCCTCAAGAAATTTTGTCACTACATCCGGTACGAGGAGACCGAAGCTACTAATTCAGCCCGAGACTCCCGTAACCATGAACCCCCCCCCCCCCGGGAGCCCGGGAAGAAGGAGCACCGGCCCCCCGGCGAGAGGGAGATTAACAACGAGATGATCGTCCCCGGGAGCCCCGAGAGCAGAAAGGCCCTGCAGGCCGCTTCACTGAGTACACGGCCCTCGTCGCTTCCCACGAGCGCATCCTGGCTGAGTGCACCAACTCAGAGTTCTTCCGGGAAAGTGTCTGTTTTCCTAAACCGGCACCCCCTAAGGCCAACATGGACAAGTCCAAATATTGCCGCTTCCACCGCGGCCACGGGCATGCCACCAAAGGTTGCATCCACCTGAAGGACTCAATCGAGATACTCATCAAGGATGGGCACTTGAAGAGGTACACCAGGGGAGGGGATGCCCCTCGACAAGAGGCCCGCGAAGCCAAAAGGGTCGAGGACATCCTCCGCCCTCCAACGACTTTGGGCTGCAGGTGGCCCTCAATGTAAGTCGGCCTGAAGACTTGTTCTTCCTAAGAGAACACGGTCTCCCTACCGGGCACTAGCTGTCCGAAGAACCAATACGCCCCAACAGCCCGTGGGAGTACTTCCACACTGCGATGGTCATCTCAGGCGAGGCCCCGAGCAAGCTCTCCATCAGGTCCGTGAAAAGGAAGTTTGACGATTTGATGAGCAACAGCTTCGGCAAAATGAGCACTCTCGACAAGTTCCA